AGGCCAACACTAATACCAACGCCTCCGTACAGTAACGTATACCACGGCGTGCCTTCGCTCTGGTCGTGATCGCCCTCCAAGAAGATCAACATAATGGCTACTAAAGGCCCGATTGCATTGCTGTCGGGAAACAATCACCGGTTAAAACATAAGTTGGAAAAGTGGTCATAACGTTAGACAATACCTGACATCATTGCCTCCGTGTGCGAACGAACCGAAACACGCCGTCAGTATTTGCAAGAATGTGAACAACTGAGAAACTTCTGGCTTATCGTCATCTGATTCTTCCTTCTCCTTTGTCTCGTCCATAACGTTGTGTCCGTTTTCAATATCTTTTCCCTCACTTATCATTAGACTTGATTTTTTCTCTGTGTTTGGCTTAAAATTCACTCAATGAATATAAATCCATATTTTATTTGTTTTATATGTTATACCTCTTTCTCGTTGTGCTGTAAGTTGTCGTTTGTATCAGTTATTTGCGCTTCTTTTTCCTCCAATTTCTCTGTAATTAAAAAATAAATTGTTGAAAAAATTGACACTTTATTAGATTTATAATGCAAACCGAGTTTCTCGGTAATTGTCTTCCTCTGTCGCGGGACCACAAAAAACCAAACAATAGCTGCTATTAAGAGAGCCAATCCAATGGCTATACACATAGCTATCCACCACACGGTGTGTACTGTTTCAAGAGTCAAATAACTTTATGTAAATCTAATTGAATCTAATTAAATCAAATATTTAGACATACGGTAGGGGTCGTCGTGAATGAGAGAAAACACGTTAATAAAGATTACAATTCCATAGATTAGTGGAAGAGCTATGAGTCCCGGTTCCAGAGGTTTTTCCTGTTTGTATTAAACAAATCGGATAAATATGTTGATAAACATTAAACGTATAAATATTTATATAAATAAACAACAATTTATTTTCAAATACTTTTTATAATAAATATCAATACCTTTTCTAAAATAAATATTCGCAAAACAAGAAATATCAAAACGGAAACGATTCCTGAAAGGATAGGACTGACAAACCACGAGCCGACTGTTGAGTCCAATAAA